CGAACCGAACCGTGAATTTTGTGTATCGTTGCACCCCTAATAGATGGTTAATGTTTACCATGCTTTGGTAGCTGTAGCTCCAGAGGTAGAGCAGGTTATCTACTAATTGTAAGGCTGCTAATTTGACTCCTGGCTGCTCCAGTCTGCATGCTAAATATCCTTGAGTGAGACACTAACCCCAGGTTGTTCTCTGATCCATCCATTGCAGTGAATGTGTGTGAATGTTAGATAGAAGAAACTTAAACATAGAAAAAAGTGAATGTGTGAATGAGACGCGTTGTGTAAAGTTCTTTGGTTGCTCAGGTAAAGTAGAAAAGCACTATATAAGACCCAGCACTTTTACCATTTATCATGCTACTTCCAGGTCCTGATTTTCATGTCATTGGCTGAGATCTTAGTCCTGCAGTGGATGGTAGCCTGTATAAGTTGACTGAAGTTGCACTTCAAGGCCTTTGGCCATTTTGGTTGTCAGAGCACGATGTGTTAATGAGTGTGTGCCTTTAGCCTTTGCTTTGCTTGCCAGTTTTTGTCAAGTTTCTTATGTTTCTCTTTCTGTTTTGTTCATCCTGATTGAACCCGATTCATCTTTTGTTTCTGTGCCTTCGGTTACAGTGAACAGAAAACGCTTTTAAAGGAGAGCTGCCATTTTCTGTTGATATTCTCCTGTTTTTCATTGGTTTATAGGGAGGTTTCTAATGCCTAAGTCAATCAATTAATCAAGGTTTTATTTTAAGTTAGTGTTTGCTGTGTTGCTTTGACTGTCCCTGAAATCTTTCAAGTAATATTACACCCAAACCTATCTGGAAATGCAACAACAACAACAGCGACTCTCTGTCTAATGTGCGTTTTATATCATTGTAGCACAACCAGTTTTGATGTTTCCATTATTTTTAGTTACGTCATTAATAATGGATTGGCCTGAACTTTGTTATTTTGGCTGTCAAGTCCCTTCTGCAGTTATCCCAATAGGTTAATAATTATTCTCCAAAATGAGTGGTGCGTTTTAGTTTTTTTAAATCTCACAGGTGAGAAGGTTTCATTTGTTGATAATGTTCAATGAGTATTTTAAAATGCTTCTCCTCACGTACAAATTCCTGATTTGTCATGTGTCGAAGTCCTCATATCATCATCTTAGCCCAATGGAGCATTTGGCTCTTAGAGTGCGGGGTAATTGTGGCTCCAAGAGTTTCTTCAGGCTCCTGGTAGACACGTAATACATTGAACTTTTTTCCTCCAATGCCCTCCTTTCACTTACATGTGTTTTCATTGCATGTCAATATTTTTTGCCTGCTAAGTGGTTGCAGCAGATGGTTTGATTGTGGTGGAAGTCTTTTCCTGTTCAGAGGGATTTCTATGCTCCCAACAAGAGCCGTTCAAAAGGGACTGTCTAATCACTGGCATTCTCTGTTATTGGCACCCTTACACAATTGTTGTTGTGAACTGTCAGTATAGAAATAAAACTCAACTGAAATTGAATTAAATGAAAGGATATCGTAAAGCAATTCTCAAGCACAGGCTTAGTTTTGCTTCAAAGTCTAACAGTGACATCGAGGGGATGTTTAAAAAGGGCATCCAGCAGGCGGTGAGGTTATGTCTCCGATACTGGCACAGCGTCCATTTGGAAACAATTTTTAAAATCAGAATTATGTATTTTTAAAAAATGGTCAGCCAAGGATCTTTCATTGTTTGCCAGGAGGTTTTGCCCCCTATTACCTAAGATTCTGTATAAATGTATTTGCATCCTCAAGTTGTGCGTAGCGACCTTACCTTTTTGTCTTGGTCAGATAGAAGATATGGAGTTTTATGCAGGTGCTATTTTTCATTACCTTTAAGAGTCGCACCTCCAGCCTGGCGCAAAGTAGGTAGCACTTTATAATAAGGCTCATGACTAAGGGTATAAGCCCCCATATTCTTTATGTTGATATTCATGATTGATTTTCTATTATTCAGTTGTGCCTTTTTTTTTTATTTATGCTATACTTAAAAATACTTAGTCTCATTTCCTGTAAAAATATCCAGATGTTGGGCTAAGTTAAGTCACTCCATAATACAACCTGTGTCCTGACACATTTTGTTTCCCATTAAATGACCAGGAAATGATGCTGTACTTACAGTTACAGCATACTTTAGTAGATGTACAGCAAAGAGTGAGGTGGCAAAGGAAAAGGCTTAAACTGGGTTCTATTGATTGGCTCGGCAGAGACATTGAAAGCATGTGCAGGAAGCTAGAGTGATTAAAGATGCAGAAGGAAATTTGCTAACAAGTGAAGAAAGTGTGTTGAAAAGATGGAAGGAGTGTTTTAAGGAGCACTGACTGAAGAAAATGAGAGCGAGGAGGATGGATGGAGGACATCGAGCCTTTGTGGATCTAAAGAAAACGTATGATAGGGTGCCAACAAAAACCTATGCAATATTTAATATGACTTACGTACTACTTAAATGTGTTTACTGTATTTGTAAGTACTCATCTTTTGTGTAGAACATGACTTGTCACCCCTTATTCTAGTGACTTTAGGCATGCTTGTAAATTACATGCATACATATGATAATGTTGTAATTTCATATAAAACACATTACAATTCCATTTAATTACTGGGGAATTACGCCCTTAGTCATGGGCTGTACTGTAAGGTTTTTCCAAATTTCCTTCTGTGTTTGGTTGTAATTGAACTTGCCTTCTAAACACTGCTCTGTATTCTTAAGCTACTCAGTCCCGCTCTTGAGTGGCTGGAATTAGTTTCAGTTATTATTTTCATTTCCATATTTGGCTCGAGGTTTTTGCTATATAAAATATTCTAACAGTTCTGCGCTGAGTACCCATTCTTAGCCTCTGTGCTTTGTTCTGCTTCAGCAATTATACAGTGAAATACAAAAGAACGTCTTGTGCCTTCTTTATATTCTCCCCCTTTGGTTGAGTCATGTACGCTCTGCCTCTTTCTCTCCTTTTAGCTATGGAGGAGCTGGATGGAGATGAGGTGAGAGTATCCTCAAGAGGGCGTCTTGCTGAGAGAGACATTGTTCAGGTACGCCTCGAAATTCGGTTAAGTCCTCGGGTTAGTCTTGAGCATGTTTCTGTCAACAACATCAGCGTGGGGTTTATGTCCCCCGGTGGAGGACGGCTTGCATTTATAGCACACACTCAGACACTCACTGGGGACTGCTTCATACAGTATGCAGTATCCATATGTATTACACAAGTTTACTGTATAACAATGCCGACGTTTCTCATCCATGCCTTTTGCTTATCACTGATCAGTCAGTGCAAAACCTTGACTAAAAACAACATTTGGTAACCTTTAACAGAGAGATTACAAAGCTTAAAGGCATTACTGTAATTTTTACTGTTTCTCATCAGCTATGGTACATTTCATCACACAGACTAATGTCATAAGGATAAATTATAAATGTAATTTTGCTAATGACTGGTTTATATTAATATATATATATCAATCATTCTTTTTCACTGTAAAAAAATTTGCAACATTTAAATTATCTTGTAATTTACCATTTATTAACAGTGGTTATTCTAAACTCTCAATTTAAACATTAAAAAGTGACTTAAAGCCATAAAAGGTCCTTTCTTTTCTGTCAATCAAATTTTTCATAACAACAACTAATACCTCAGGACACTTTATATTGTAAGTTAAAGATGCTACAATGAGACAAAAAATAGAGGACAGGGAGGCTCAGTGTTCAAATGAAGAAGCACAGGAAAATAGCAAATAAAAATTGGGATAGTTAGTGAGATGAAGAAAGGGTAGAGGGTAGATGTACAGCAAAGAGAGAAGTGGCAAAGGAAAAGGCTTAAACTGGGTTCTATTGATTGGCTCGGCAGAGACATTGAAAGGATGTGCAGGAAGCTAGAGTGATTAAGGATACGGAAGGAAATTTGCTAACAAGTGAAGAAAGTGTGTTGAAAAGATGGAAGGAGTGTTTTAAGGAGCATGACTGAAGAAAATGAGAGCGAGGAGGATGGATGGAGGACATCGAGTAAGTCTTTGTGGATCTAAAGAAGACGTATGATAGGGTGCTGACAAAAGAACGGTGGAAGTCAGGAGCGGCAGAGAAGTGTGTTACAGTGAGCCAGTGGTGAGGTGTGCAGTAAGACTGACACATGGGGTAAACCTAAAGGGTGCAGCAAAAAGAAGGAAGAAATAAAGAAATAAATGAACATTTTAATCAATGTCATGTATGAAAATGATGTTAAAATGACATTTATGACGTGGTGATATTAATATATGTGTTGATGTGTTAAATAGTCGTAACTTATAAAAGGCATGTGCCTCAGTATTAAATCTGTTTGGATATTTACTTATGTAAAGCAAAAGAATCAAGCGTTCTGGATGTGTGACTCAGGGTTTTTCAGTTGTTTGTGAGTTCATAGTTTGTGTTCATTTTAAGAAAGGTTTTATATTCTTGCTTTATAGTCTGCTGTTAGCGATCTGATCAATTGTTTCTTTCTACTTGTGATTTTGTTATTCTGTGCTTTAGTCCTTTGCCCAGATTTTGTTGACTATAGCTCCATTTTGTGATCCTGGTCGTGTTCTCGTGTCTGCTGTCTGGTCTCTTTGACCTCTCCCTCTGTAGTTCGCCTTGTCTCAGTGATTTTTAACTTTTTAACTGTTTTAGTTTTTTCTGTTATGTCTGCACATAACAGAAAAATATCATAGAACCCGTGTTAAACTATATCTTTAGACACTTTGTTACTGGCAGGCTGTTGGAAGAATAGCATAGACAGTATAACAGATGGACGTAGCTACAGTGATGCCTCCCGTTATTTTCTGAACTCCTTTGAAACCCTGTAAAGAATTTTTCTGGTCTTAGTTCCAAGAACTAACAAGATACACGTCTGACTTTGGAACCGCTTGCTCACTGAACAACAGCTGTGTTTTTTTTCTTAATTGATAAGTCTTAGCGGTGTTAAGGTAGGGTTAACACCGCTAAGACGTTACAAAACAAATGACAAAATGAATTACTAAGAAATGAATTCAAAAGCAAAGTGTTTATAGGGGTCGGGAGAGAAATACTTTTTTTCCTTTTTTTATAGGACCAGAAGTCTTTTTGCAACCACAGCTCTCGCCACCTGGTGGCCTTTTGCTAGAATGCAGGTGTAGGGCTCAATGGCTTAGTTTTCTGAACAGGAAGCTGCATCTATATTTTTACTGTCTATGCAAAGAAAAATATTATTAGTTCCCATTTCTGTAGTTGAATCTCTGAGAGATGCCAAAGATAACAGTTTGAGAGTCAAGGTCATTTCCTGAAGAGCTATTAGCCAGAAAATTGGCATATCTCAGCGTGGTGTGCAATGTGTCCTGTAAAAATCTTTTTGAAAACTAGACATGTGGAGGACAAAAAAGATGTGAAATTGTCAACAGTAGATGAATGGTATCTTAAAGTCATGTGCTTGAGAAACAGCAGAGACCTGACACAGGACATGAGAGATGCATCTGGCCTTTCAGCTGATCCATCTGTTGTTCACTGAAGCCTCATCAGAAATGGGCACAGGGGAAGGGTGGCTGTCAAGAAGCCATTCTTAAGGAATGGAAACAGTGAGAAAAGGCTGAGGTAGGCCAGATTACACAAGAGCTGGACTGAAAATCAGAAGCAACAGGTTTGGCTTAAATCATCTTCAATATGAGGTTAAGAGACAGGTAATCCAATTAGTTTCTACAGCCATCTGTAAAACACGGCTTACCTAAGAGAGACTGTATTGTAGAATAAAGGTGGTCATACCGAATACTAATATTAATAAGATTTTTCGGACACCAAGATTTTTTACTTTATAAATGCATGAACGTTTATATTTATTTATGCAAAAGGTTGCTGAAAAGATCCTCATCTTTCAAAAGACACACTTATAACATTCCCAATTCCAAACTCAACAAGAGAGAAACTTATTTAGCTGAGAGTATGGTGAAGAATAAGTGGTGATCCCACTGGAGAATGGTCTGGCAACACTAAACAGTTATTTTAGACAGCCTTTTAGAGATATGAGAACATAAATGGGTAAATACAAGGGCCTCTGATAACAATGTACTATTGAAGTTCCGGATAACAGTGAAGAAGAGTCAGCAAAGGGTAAGATGATAAATGAGCACTTAAAGAGATATATGTATGGCGTCTAAAAGCCGAGAGGAAAAAAATGCATTCATGTTTAGAAATACTAAATATTACTTCAAAGTTGGTCTTGCTTTTTATTGTTCCATGTGATTTAGCATTAATTTCAACATTGTCACATTTTATGGCAATAAAACACACATCCTAATCTTGTTTGAGCCAGGACAGAGACAATAGCTATTTTGTAAGTTTATAAAGAAGGAAGGAAGAGCTGTATGACTCTAATGGCTCATTCAGCTGATGCTCCTCAGCAGTGCAGTGCATAGATATGTGCATATGTATCACAAGTTAAAATCAATGAACTGTGTCATAAAGGCAAGTGATAATTGAAGTTTCTCCTTCAAGTATATTGTGAGAAAACAAAAAGAAATGTAAGTTGACTCTCCTGATAATCTCCATTAGGGTCTGACAAACACAGCATCACCCTGAAATTAATACCAGCCATAGGTAGCCAACACCTGTGGTGGATTGTAAAACCCATATAAACTAACAAATCAGGAAGATCGTAATACTTGAGGAAAGGAAACACTATGAACCTATAGAAACAGCACTTAAGTTTATCGTGAGTCTTAATTAAGATGTTCAAGAAGTGGCCCAGCGTGTCTGATTCTGCCTCTTCAAAGTTATATTTTACAAATGTAAAATGTCACAGTAGCTTCCAACTGCTCGGAAACCAAGTAAACAAATTAATCACAGGCTATTATAGAAATAGCAGGGAGTCCATCTCATTTTTCAATTCTGGATTTTTAGCGGTCTGAATCGTGACAGTAAAAAATGTTTCTCGTTAGGCACCGCTTCAAGGGCAGCTGCTTTTATGGAAGCAGGGCTCTGTGTCCCACTTGATTGCAATGGACCGCCACAGGATACTTTCAATTTTTTTTTCATAATCTGTCTTAAATCTGCTTTTTTGCTCTTTGTAGAACATAGGTGAAAGTGCTGCAGTCAAGCCAAGAGCTTCATTTTATGTCTTTCTGTTGAGCACATCCACAAATCTTCACACACTTTACTGCAGCTATTTTTAACTTCTCACCGTAAAGCATTGCACTAATGAAAAACAAAATTGACCCCTCACAAGGTTAATAGCCATATAATTTATGCGCTTGTTCTAAAGCTGTTTTTGTATAGCTTATATTGTCTTTGAGTCTGTTTTACTTGCAGCAGTAATCACATTTGCATGCACACAGTAATCCTTTGATTGCCTTTAACCTTATTACCACAATAATTCAATCAGGATTGTTACACTTAGCAGGAAAAATATTCACTCACTCTACATTTCACGCTTTTTTGTTGTTATTGATTCAATATGTGTACTGCCATCACTGAGCACCCATGTGTATACCTGTGAGCATGAGCGCGCTTGTATTTAAAAGGTTCTTTCATGTAATGATCTACTAGTGGGTGTGGACAGCCAAAGCCCCGTCCTCCTGGGCATGAAGCAGGTATGGAGGAGACAGTTATTTCTCTAGCTTCACATACTGAATAGGGTAGTAGAGTTATCGGCGCAACTTTGTGCTGAACATTGGGGGGGTTAAGATCTCTGTCTAAATAAATAAATAAATCTGGGTAAATTCCTAGATGATTAAACATGCAACTTATTTGATGTTAATACTTGAAAGGAGTAAAGCTAGCTGCCTATTTATGCTAGATAATTTATAATTTTATTAGGGGTTTATAGTGGTTGGTTCTTTTTATGGGGGGTCATAACACCCCCCTGGAAATTAAGCCTCTGAGTAGAGTAGGGCTCCATGGCGCACACTAGCCTTCATACATGTAGTGTTTTATGTCCACTTAAAAGTCACATTGGCAACATAACCAGGGAAAATCTCAGACAAAAAAAAAAAAGAATATTAGGGTACCTTTTGTCGAATCTCCAGCGTTATAGTTTCATTCTGCAACTCGAATATGTTTCTTTCAATTCCATACTCTGTTTGAAACAATCATTTTACCTTCCCTCCATTTAGCTTTATTCTGATTGGGTGATCCTCGTAAACAAAATGTTTCAACACAAGTTTGTGGAGCTTTGGTGCTCACAGCTATGGCTGTGCACCTGAGATGCTCGCGTACATGATGTACATGATGCTAAATACAGCTTTTTGTGTTAATAAGAAAGAAAGTAAAAAAGTAGCTCTTTGAAAGATATCTTTTTTTCTTCTTCTTTTTTCTTCTTTTCTTTTTCTTTTTTTTTTTTGTTACCAGCTATTGTGGAAAACTAACTAAAATTTCTATTGAGAGCTCCAGCAGATTTTCCTTCTGTTCGGACTGTAATCAGCTGCCCTGAGCTGCTGCTGCCCTCAGCCACTTTTCCAGCTGAGTTAAAGTGGCTGAGGCAGAGTGTAATGTTAGCATGTTGGTTATGTCCAGCTTTCACATACAGTCTATAACAGTTCTCCATGTCAGCACCACAACCACACCCTGATTTGAAAGAAGTCAGTAGGTTGAGCTAATACGAAGTATCTTGGGGAGTCCTGTTTCTTTTTCAGAACATTTAATGTGTGAAAAAAGTCAAATAAATTGTGGTTGAAGCCATGAAAGCACAAAAAATGGCACAAATTTAAGATAATGAATGTAGAAAAACAGCAAGTGAGCCATATGGCAGTTGGGGAAAAACACAGAAAGAGAGCAAGAGAGATTTCTATGACCATATTAATCATTGCAGCATCCTCTGCATGTATTTTCTACTTTTAAAGTACTTTAAAGTATGCTGCTGAAATCATTATCTAATAAAAGCTGTAACCGATGAGACAGCGTCTGAGAGGATTCACTGTGAAGGGGGCAAAGGTTTCCCTCATGCTCACAGTGGTCCTTAAGTAAGGCTTCGGAGGCATGAACAGCTTTAAAATCCATCACTGATGCAACCAAAGCGCTGTCTTACTTGGTATCATTATTTTCCCCTCCCTTGTCACGCAGCACCTGGTGCCAAATATCACATGACAAATGCACAAAATGCAAGTTGTATGTCTTCAGGAGACAGATGAAGCCAGCTGTGTTTCCATTTTTCATGTCTGAAAAGATCTCTGCAAACATTAAGATGACAGAGAACTTCTGAAAGTTTTGTCTTTTGGACAAGACCTCCAGTGAATGGCTACATTAACCTCCTGATGTGGAATTGGGCAAAAAACATAATACCCAAATCAAGCACTCTTTCTCATTATTTAACAAATGTGGCGTCACCTGTTTGTCAAATGTGAAATTAGAAGCTGGTTTATCAGTTTTTTTGTTAAAAAAGGACATGATCCACATTGTTTGAAATCAGAATGGACAATGAATCTTGAAAACTCTGCAGCCAGCCATGAAAAGCCTACAAATGCAGCTTCCTAGATATGCTAAGAGGTATTCTTTGATACCTTAGCTGCTGTCTCATGCAATAGACTTTAGGAGTTAATAAGTACTGTATCTCAGAGCTGCTGTTTCCACATATGCTTTCCACTTTTTATTCCCAGGTAGTGATGTTTTGCCCAGCATGATTGTAATGCTGTAATACCACGTATTGTCCTGCGTGGGAATAATTCTATCCGAGAAGGTTTGATTCTACCCTTTACATGGCATGAAATGGCCAGTTAGAAGATCCACATATTACTTTGTACCCCCAGAGACCCTGTACCCATCATCACTGGCCTCCCTGCATCATTGCTAGTGTGGCGGTGATGCAAACATGGCATCCAAGGTCTTGAGCCCACTTTTTCTCCTTGTGAGAGTTGGTCAGATGGAACCTTTTGCACAACTGCCGGGCTTGGGAGCATCCAGCATCCACTTGAGGATTTTGGTACTCCGGAGACACCGTCAGCTTTGAATATCAGTGGCTTTTTATAGCTGCCTTTCAGTGTTATTTGTCTAAGGGAAACTTTCCTTAATGAGCCTTTATCTAACTGAATTCATCCGTACTCTGAGTCACTCGCTAATCTTTTCACGGTTCGATGATTTCTTCAGTTTATGTGAGATATTGGCAGTTTTCATCACTCTCGCAAAACATTGCACTATTCCAGGCTTTTTAATCTTTTGGGAGATCTTCAGAAAAAAAAGATTTTTATGTTGTCTATACTGGTATGCTACTTTTTTATCTGTACTAAATAAACAGGATGTATATAATGATTTCTGCTTTTAGTTCGTTCCATTCAGAGACTACATTGACAGATCTGGCAACCAGGTCCTCAGCATGGCTCGACTAGCGAAGGACGTCCTTGCCGAGATCCCCGACCAGCTGCTGTCTTTCATGAAGAGCCGAGGAATCGAACCGCGACCAGCCCTGTCCTCCTCCCCACTACCGCAGCTGCACAGACACATCTGACCCCCGACACAGTCTCTGCCTTTCTTGGTTCTGCTTCTCCCTCCTTGCTTACCTCGGCTCACGTCCCTCACTCTTGTTTTTCACTTTAAAAACAATAGTGAGAGAAAAATCGACCCGTCACTCACCCTTCTTCCTCTCTCATCACCCGTGGGGATAAACAGGCACATCGTAGCTACACAGCGGGTGTCATCCCTGACCCGCCCACTGCTGTAGCTCTAAATCGCCCTCTTATTGCTTTCATTTACTGTTTGCAACTGAACCGTGACCATTCCTCCCCTCTGATACCAGACCGTTCAGAGCCTGGCTTTTTTTGTTTGTTTGTTCTTAATTGTCTGATTCCCCTCTCCAGACACATTTGGAACAAAAGGTTTTGCTGTTGGTCTTCGGCCAGTGTTGCCACTCATCACATTTGGCAGGAGTGCTGAAGTTAATAATTTCAAATTTCTTGATGAGGAATAGACTCCAGCTCGTATCAGGTGCTGTGGGGTTACTTCGACTGATTCTTTGCAGTGACCGATCACAACAATAAAATCTATTTTCACCCAGCCGTTTTATGATCTCTTATTGTTGCTGAGCCAAATCTGAAACTGTAATCGAGAATGCAAACTACTTTAGTATAATCCATTCAGAGAAAATAGAGTCCTTGGGTTTCTCCTTTTTAAGGTAGGAAATAAGTGTTGTTAGAGCTAATATGGGGAATCCACACACATGTGGCCTGTCACAGACTTAGACACACACTCGCCTCTGTCAGACATGCCACACCCACACTCTTTGCCCAGCATGGGCCGAGGCTGGGTGCAGATTCCCCTCCTGCTGTTAGAGAAATGCCAGACTCTCCGGCTGCCCTGCAGAGAGGAGGAAGAGGGAGGAAGGAAGGAAGGAAGGAGAAATTGTAGGTGGGAGTAAAGGGAACCGAGGGGAGGAATGGGTAAGAGAATGAGCAGAGAAAGAAAAAAAAAGTGAGGAGAAAAGAGATTCACAAAGAAGCGAGGAAGAACAAAGCATCGGGAGATCTGTTTTGTTTGAAGGGAAAGAACAATGAGGCAGATGTGAGCTGGGTTGGAGACAGCAGCAGAGAAGGCTGTAGCTCAGTGCCATCTTTAGTTGGAGAAGCCTTTGTATGCATATTTACAAGGTGTGGAACAATCTCAATGAGGGATAAACGCACATTCTATGAAAAGCAATATACCTGACTTCCAGTGTAATGTTTGCCCTATGCATGTCCCTTCCTCTCCCCTGCCATGACTTGACATTTTATTCCCCAGAAGACTGGAGCTGTGTGCAAAGTTGGCAAAGCCTGCCACCTAGTGTTCACCCCTTGTATAGCAGGGTATCTTTATTATGCATGACTACTGTACATTTCTATACTAACTCAAACAGTACCCACGCATGAACAGATGCAGCTCATCTTACTATCTTAATTCAAGACAGGCATTCCAACAAACAACAGAGGCCCGTGTAAAGAACTACAAGCATCTTTGTGAAACGTGTCACTCTTCAGAGTTAATGTCAAGTGTGACAATCGTGGTTTATATGGGATGTTTTATTTGCTGTGTGACCATATAGACTTTTTCTAAAATAATCCGTTTCAACGTCATGTTTATTGCATGTCGGGGAAGCAGAAGTGTTGCAGTGTTTAGATAATTGTCATCACTCAAAGTGATTGTCCAAAATAATCTGTACTGTACATTTTCATTTGCAGATTTTGGAACTAACTTGTATGCCTTGTGTCCTGCAGAAACATGTGAAATTACATGTATTTTTGATATTTTGGCAGGGTCATGAAAAACAGAAATGCAAAGACTCTGCGAGATGCCAGTGGTATTAGAACGTTTTCTGAACGTATTTAAAGCCCTGCTGTGATTTTTGTCTATCCCCTACTGTTGTCCTATGCCTGTATGAACTTAAAGGCAACCTATTATGCTTATTTCTAACTTCATATTTTTATTCAAGTACTCTACTAAAGTTGCTTTGCATGAGTCACAGCTCAAACATAATCCTTATTTATCTTATACTGGGGCTTGGTGCAGCGCATCAGTTCGTAACCTGTCTAAACCAAGCTGTTTTATGCATTTCCGCTGATTGGCTACCCAACATAAAAATCTGACTTAAACAGCAGATTGGTGGAGCTTTGTGCTTGCTGACTGCGCTGTGGCTCTCGGTTGACCGTATCAGTGATATCTGCTCTGTGAGACATCATACAGAGCCATGGTTAGAAAAAACAAACTGAAAAGAGAGTTTTCAAAGCAGCTTGAACCCTGAGTTTTAGCTTGCAGGGATAACTGACACCTACCCTGAGCTCATTAGCTGAACCTTTGGTCATGTGAGTATAAGGAAAAGCATAATAGGTGCCCTTTAAAAAAAAAAAAACAAGATGGTTAAAGTTTTATTGTATATAAATGTTCTTTTTGCTTACAGTAAAGCTTCAAGAAACTTTTACATCTGTATTTCAAACAGCTAAATTGTATGTTGACATTTTTTAGAATGTCCATATAAGGGGAATGTAGATGTTTGACCTAGAAACCCTTAACTGTTCTGACAAATATCTTGTCGTGTTTCAATATGAGGTTTGACTATGTCTGTGTTTACGCATATCACCTGAAGGTGATGATCTGCAGTACAATATATCCAAACATAAAGCAACACACTCTTGCTGGTTGTATGTTGTATGTAGTAATTCATTCAGCAGCACTATAGAGATCACTCAGAATGAGTTCCAGCTTTAAATTGTTGGTTCATTAAAAAGATTAAAGAGCTTTAATACATAATGGGGGTGCATTTGCTTCATTACTGATTTGGATTCATTGCCCTATATCTGTTTTCATCTTGTCGTGAAAATAAATACAGTACTTAACAGAGCTCCTCAGTGAATCGCCACCTTATCACAGTGGAGGGTTTGGGTGGCTCAGTGATCCCATGTTTGGCTATGTTGTTTCACAGGGCAAATTTCCCTGGGTAAGGGGCCACAGAAAAGAAAAAGAAGAAAATCCAGCGACCAGTTTAGCTTTCCCAGGATAGGGCTACTGGGGCCCCACCCTGCAACCAGGCCCAGGGAAGAAGCACCTAGTGGCTGGGCCTTGGCGTGTATTCTTGTATCCTCACTGGTTCACTGTCTATACGTTGGGGTTTGCCTAAGTGGATCAGAGGACTGCATGCGCCTTCAGGTCAGGAAATAGGTCCTGACTGTCATTTGCACTAAATTCACTTGGTGTGGTGCTAGAGGGTGCCCTAACTGGTCACTCCATTTTCCTAGTGGGAGACTTTAACGCCCACTTGGCCAAAACCAGTGATACCTTGAGGGGTCTGGCTGGAAGAAATGGCCTGCCTGATACAAACCGTCTCGAAAACCTGCAACTGAATCTCAGTTTCAGGAACATTTTTGTGAACTACAAAGTCTTACCTGCTGTGCATTCAGAAATGTTCTTTGAAGTCTCTGAACTTTTTCTAGCACATCCTGCCATTATGTCTTTTCTACTATTAGTGACAAATTGTCAGTGTAGACAGAACTGAATCGTTTTGACCCGCCCACCGCCAAAAATCAGAAAAATTTTTTTTTAATTAAAATTCTAATACGTTCACTGTGTATTTGACCAGCTTTGCTAACATGTATCTATGTGTTACATAAGTAATTTAATTAATATTACAAATTTAGGTTTAGTTTTGGGTGCCCAGAGCAAGTACTGACTATTACCATTCATTTGTGGTAAGAATCATTTAGAAACGCAGTGGATGACTTGGGAATCCAGTAGTTTTAAGATACAGATAACAGATATCCAATTCAAGGCTTCCAGTTTTATCGAACAGTTTCTTTGAAAAAACATGATTTTAAAAAGATAAATTTTTGTCAGACAAACAGCATTCTTGCAGACACAGTTAAACTGATTTGTCAGTAGAACTGGGTCTACAAAGCAGAAAGCGTCTGGTGCCAAAGCCCCTTTCCTTTGTGAATATACAAATATTTGTTTTGAGAGATTATGGTAAATTTGTCTAAAGTGGAAATGAGAGAATAACAGAAGAAAAAAAAAACCTTACTGTTCAATTTACTCTCAAGTATCCACAGTGCCAACACTATTCAGTTGTAATTTTGATGTAAACCTAAAAGTCTTTAAGTGTTTATTCTGAGTAATTGAACTTTCAGTATTGAAGCTTCGAGGAGTCTCTCCACAGCAGGTCTGACAACATTATTTCCATCATAGTTCTTCAGGTCTTCATTAAAAAACATTTAAAAAAAGGTAGATAAATATTTTCCTCTGATATCCTGATTTTGAAACAGTTACTGTGTTTGTTTCATAAAAGACTTGGTCTGGCAAATCTGTTGGATCCTTTCAGTTTAATTTACCAGACAAACAGGTCTGTGGAAGATGCAATCAAAATCAGATTACATCATATTTGCCAAACCTAGACCTCCTGAAAGCTACGCAAAGACACCATTTATGGACTTTAGTTCAGCTTTCCATCAAATCATCTCTGAAACTCTTGCCATTGCAATCACCCTGTTTGCCCTCTCCATATCAACCCTGGAAGCTCTCACAAACAGTGTGTGCATCAATACTGAAATAAAGATACTTTTCATCTTAACTCTTTAGTTACCCTTTATGACTGATTTAAAGTTTAGGTAGGTAATACACATTTAAAACAAAACAGACTTTTTGCTATAACTATTCTACATTTTCAAACTGAAAATGGCTACTTGAAATAACTTTAAAAAAAACTTTGTATTGTATGTCCCCCTCTGGAAATCGACTATAATGCTTTGTACTCTATACAATTTTTAGTTTACAGACTTTGAAATTTAAAGCTATTATTATATTATATTATTATAGATAAAGCTACCCAGCAGCATATATAAGTAATTAAAATAATCTCAAGATGCAACATTAACAATGTATACATATTAATAAATCAGTTAATACAATCCAGCAATATAATGTATTTGAGTACCTGCAGTTTAGGTACATATTTTAGTTCCAGTTTGAAAGAATCATACAGTGTTTGATCCCAGGTCACCCAGATGTACCATTCTTTGAACTATGACAACAGTGGACCCGTTGGTGCCAGATATGCTGTGACGGCCAATTGAACACAATCACCCAAAGAGACAGAGGAGTAATTCTGACTGGATGTAAAGGTGTTTCTAAAAGAGGTGTTTTGAAGCAGGCCAGAGTCAAGGAAAGTAAGAGTTCATTCAGACAGACTGAAAACAGGTCAGGAAATTACCTCTGAGCAAAGTGTAATGTTACTGCAGATAAACTGCTTTTCATGTAGCAGTCACCCAAACATCTTTTCATTTTCAGTGATCCAAAGCACCTCAGTGTGCTACACTTCTGGACAACAAGCAGATCCTGATGTCATTACAACGCTCTTCTTTCCCCCCCTCCTTTCTAAACATAATATTTTATGAGTATGTGGAAAGAAACAAGGAACAACATCTGGCAAAAACGTGTGTTTTTAAAGGGACTTGAACAAACCTGGTTTTGTGGGACTTTGGGTAATAGGTCAGAGAGGCTTAGCTCAGGGAAACTTTGGGTAAATATAAATGAAGCTTTCAAGCCCTGAGAGAAAAAAAAAAAGCAAGAAACTGGAGGCACACGTGAAATTTTCAGGAAGCTGCTTTAGGGCTACCGGGGTTGGGCAGACTACGGTCAGAATGTGCGTAACACTTTTCAAGAAAATTGCTTTAATTACTGGTTAAAGACAAAAGCAGTAGAGTTTTTGAGTTTGATCCAGAGTGGTTTGCTTAAATGTTAACTATAGGACCAAGGTAGGGTACAGCTCAGCAAGACTTTAAGAATACTTATGAGATTCTACGATGTCTGCGCCCAATTCAAAGTGTCAGAATCCATCATATAAGCTGCAAATTAAAGCAGAGTAAATAATCAAAGAGAGAAGAAATAAATCGTGTCAGATTTTAAAAGACTCCATAAAAGCACCAGTAGTATTACCTATAACAACAATGCAGCCTTTCTGTTTTTCCACTTACCTCACCACCAAGCTGCTTTATAAAACAACTTTTTTGTTGTTGCCATGCTGTCATAGCCGAGAGGTGCTGCAGATGAAGGTAAAAACCAAAGAGAAATAAAGAGCAAGCTGGCAAAATCTCATGCTGTGTAAATGCACGTAATGTCTCTCTTGAGGGGATGACTCAAATACCTTTAAAGAAACACTTTTGAAATTTAATCAGATGATAATTTGAACACTACTCTCATACGAAGTCAGTTAGCATAGTTTGTAAACCTATGCTAACCGGCTATGCTGGACCAGTGTTTATGCTAACTGGGTTGAACCGTATTGGCAAGAAGAGCTAGCTCTCCTCCTATAAGCACTTCAAAATTTATTAAATAGATAAATAGTGATAACTAATAGACTTTTGTTATTTAATCCATACAAAAATTGGGAAAATCTTTAGGACGTAACTATATCTAACTGAGAGATCTCCAGTCAGATATAGTTTTCCACCCAACTTTTACGTTGACCTTTTGGTTGTGCTTTATTTCTGATGAGTCAAAGAGATATGTCAATGCTTCACTACAGTTTCTCCTTTGTGAAGAAACAATCTTTGAATGTGGATTTTGTTACTTAGCCAGACTAGCTGTTTGTTGTTTACGCTAATCTAAGCTAACCAGTTGTACCTACCGTAATTGTACTTACCAAGTATGCATTTTGTGTATTATATAAAATGTAAACTCATCTGTAATTTAAAGGTCTATATTTTAATGATCTGCATGAACTTTTTCACACTAAGGAAAAAGGATCCAGCTTAGCCTGGGGCTTCTGAGGCAACCTGCTATAATGTGAACTGCTATTTTGGATCAAATTATCCACTAAATCCCTGGTATATTTTGCCATGACAATTATGTTAACAGCATACTTGGAAGACACTGCTTGCTACATATTGCATTTGTTCTCATTACAGTCAGTTCTGTTAAATCCAATCAAAATTGATGATCTCAGTGCAAGATGTCCAAAAGTACCTGACAATACTTCTCTTCCTCATCATATAATCTTTGCATCTTTTCCCATCACTGGATTCTGTGAATAGGCTGAGACATAATTTAAAGCTATTAAATCATGATTTGGCCACTACATACTGAAGCTAACCATTTTTTAGATCAGAAGAGACTGAGGAAGAAGAGGGATACATAATACCCCTGTTTTGGACTTTGAATAAAGGCAATGCTTTGTTCTCTGTGTCTGTAAACGGTTTGGATTAGGACTACAGATGCAAGACTTGGAGGCATAATATTCTCAGCGGAGCATGGCAATAGCCATGAGAGCAGCGTTAAACACTGCAGCCTCTGTCCTGGAAAAACAGTATCTGGGAGCTGAGGAGTCTTGGAAAACAATGTTGCAGATGACTTTATTTAGTACCTTTTAGAGTATAGCACATCCCACAAGCAAAATGTCAGACCTTTAAGGTAAAGCCCCAAAGATTTTCATTGTCGGCCAGATTTGTGACACCATTTATGCTCAGTGTTAACCTTTCAGATCCACTTTAAATGCATCTGAAAAATAACCAGTTGACGTCTTCCTCCATGGTATCAAGTCCAAGCTCTTTCTTTTATGAAAATACGACCTGTACCATTTCTTAAAGATTGATGATCATTGCACATTTCACTGAAGAGGCCGTAAAGTTCTACTATGACAACAATGAATCTAATATTTGCTTGTGCTTCCATCCATCCATCCATTCTTTACTGCTTATCCTTTTCAGGGTTGCGGGGGGCTGGGGCCTATCCCAGCTGTCTTAGGGCGAGAGGCAGG